AAATATACATCTTAATTTTAACCATTTATGATTGTATTTTAATTAAAGTTATTGATAATTCATAATYTTYAAACAYAACACATTGCAAGATTACATAAAATAAAACCATGATTTCATTRATACAAAGGGTAGATATTRTACAACAACATTAAMAYAAAATACAAYAATAYATAGAATTATTGRTYATCACTCTTTAAAACTGTAGTTTAGCAAYAYAMRTTTTAAAYACATAATAYAWATGTTTTTAATTAAAAYTCACATAATAAAAACTTATTAYCTTTAAATCTGAAACCATTTTACCCCAATTACATARSAGTGCATCGATGGCYTCTTCACGAAGTCAACACTTATTTGGCRGATATCGGAGWAGCAACGAGAGATGTTGCCCTGATTAACGAAACTCCAAATATGCAATTCATGTCCATTTCTTCTCTAGCATATGGAAGCTTCCAATCAAAATGATAAACAAACGATGCCACCATTAAACTCACCACCCTATGAGCTAAAGGCATTCCAKGACACATTCTTCGACCCGATCCAAAAGGTATAAACTCAAAATGTTGTCCCTTGTAGTCGATCTTGTTTTCCAAGAACCTCTCAGGCATAAACGTCAATGGGTTTTCCCAGTACCTTGGATCACGTGCTATGGCCCAAGCGTTCACCAAAATCTGGGTGTTTTTGGGCACRATGTATTCACCAAGTTTAACATCAGTCTCTGTTCTGTGAGGCACYAARAAAGGTACAGMTAAATGAAGTCGCATTGTTTCTTTGATGACAGCTTGCAAATATGGCAAGTTGAGGATTTTGGATTCTTGAATGTTTCCATCTTCTCCCACTATTGTTTGGACTTCTTGGCGGAGTCTTGAGAACATATGAGGGTTTAGCAACAATTCAGTCATTGCCCATTCTGTTGTGTTTGAACTTGTTTCTGTTCCTGCTAAAAATAGATCCTGTAGTTTAAACAAAATAACAAAATATTGTTTGTAAGATACTTTAATCATTTTTAATGAATATTCAAATCAAATGAAACTTTATTTTTTATAAATTCTTAATTTATTGATTTGTATAGTTTTTTTTAACAATTTTAAGGTTTATATATATATATATATATATATATATTATAAGGGTACTCGTGCAATGCAACGAGATACATATTCATTTTAATGTTTCGTTTTATTTTGTCTTTATTGATATAATATGGTTTATGTGGTTTTGAGAAAGATAATGTTTTTACTTTTAAATAAAAATAAATTTGAAAATATCATAAAAATTTGAAAAAGTATATTGATATTAATATCAAATTAAATTTTTAAAATTTCTCGTTTTTTGTACAATTTCTTTAATTATATTTTTTATTATAATTTAATTTAGGTTTAATAGCGAATTAATTTATTTTGGATTAACAATATAATATTTATAAAGATAATGATTCTGTTAGAATTCAATGATTATTCTAATTAAATTTTAGATTTTTTATATTTAAAATGAGATGTTTATCCTGTATTTGATTATGTTTATCTGCAGTTAGTTATACAAATTCAAAATTGAAGTTTTAATAAGTTGTACTTACGCATAATTTTCTTGTAATCTTAAATTTTAAGTATTATGCATTAATTAACAGTACTTAATGCATAAAATGATTTTTAAGAGTTTTTGTCAAATATTTTAAAATATAGAATAGATATATATATATATATATATATATGTATGTATGTATGTATGTATGTATATAGGGGCATGTTCAAATGAAAACCGTGCATTTCTAAGAAACCGTGTAAATTAATTTCGACCAATAGAAAAATTCCATTTTTTCTAATTAAATTTAATCAATAAGGGTATTTCGGTCATTTACAATATTTTCAATTAAATATGGAAATTATTAATAAATCTTAATTAAAGAAACGTAATAAAAGAAATTTTATAAATGGTAACATTTAAATATTTAATTATATTCTAATTTTAAAAATTTGAACTAAATATATTGTGATGTGATTGAATCTGGTGGTGAATCTTGAAGATTGTAAGACATAATGTAATTAATTCATCAAATTATGATTGAAAAAAGAAATTAATACAAATAAAACAGGTTTCATGAAAGTGAAACAGGTTCATGTCATAATTGAACAATGAGTAGTGAAACATTTTCATGGTGAACTCGTTTCATTGATGGTGTAGTTGATTCATTTAGTAGGTGAAGTGAAAAATGAAACGGGTGCATAATGTATTTGATTCGTCATGAAATAATTGCATGATGAAATGGAGACATGATGAATCTGTTACAGAATCTTGAAGATTGTAATCTCCTCCGGAATGAATTCATCAAATCATGAGTGAAATAAGAAAATTAACGTACATGAAATAAGTTTCATGAAAGTGAAACTGGTTCATGGCATAATTGAACCAAGAGTAGTGAAACGGATGCATAATGTATTTGGTTCGTCATGAAATAATTGCATGATGAAATGAGTACATTATGAATCTGCTCCATAATTTTGAAGATTGTAATCTGCTACAGAATCTTTAAGATTGTAACGATTAAATGAATGAATTCATTAAATCAGGAGCGAAATAAACTAATCTATGTACATGAAACAAGTTTCATGAAGGTGAAACTAGTTCATGGCGTAATTGAACAATGAGTAGTGAACTGGTTTGATGATGAACCCCGTTTCAGTGATGGTGTAGTTGATCCATTTAGTAGGTGAAATGCAAAATGAAACGGGTGCATAATGTATGCGGTTTGTCATGAAATAATTACATGCTGAAATGGATTCATGATGAAACCAGTGCGTCTTGAAATAATTTCATAATAAATAGGGTGCATATTTACATGTGTGTGTGAAAGACATTGAAACAATTTCATGATAAGAAATAAAAAGGCTGCTGCATTAGCGAAATTATTTCCTAACAAATAGAAATTTTTAATTTCCTAAAATAAATAATAATGTCCTTCAATAGGATGTTACAGAATATGTATTTTTGTTTATCATTTTGCCCTTATTGCTGATATAAAAATAAATCTTTAATATATTTTTTTTAATTTTCTAAAATAAAGTAACTAATCTTGACCATTGATCAAAAAAATGGATGGATGAGATTGGACACGGTTTACACAAATGGAGGCAGTTTTCATTTGATTGCTCCCCTATATATATATATATATATATATATATATATATATATAGGGGAACGATCAAATGAAAACCACTTAATTTGTAAAAACCGTAAAAACTTCATTCAACCAATCATAATTTTTCATTTTGTTTATTTTTTTGTAATTATAAGAGTTTGATTAATCATTTTTGTTGTGGAGGATGTTAATTATGGATATTATCATCTTCATCATTTTAATTTTAGAGAAATACATGAAACAGTTTCATTAAAGTTTCATTAAGTAGTATATGAAACAATTTCATAACCATATATGAAACATATTTATCAAAAAAAAATATTATATGAAACAATTTCACAAGATTAAACAATTTCATGAAAAAGTTTCATAAGATTACGACCGATGAGAATAGTTTTTACGATTTTTACAAATTGGAGTGATTTTCATTTGATCGTTCATCTCTCCGCATACACACGTGTGCGCATGTGTATTAGAAGTAACGATTTTAAATTTATATATGTAAAGGAGGATTTACCACAAGTAAAGCCTTTATATGTAAGAGATTGAAGTTGGCTTCCTCATCTTCACTGTAATCCAGCAGTGAATCCAACATATCACCCAACCTTGGAAGCTTCAACTCTCGATGCTTTAACCTCTCGCTTATAAACCCTTCTGTCACTTCMTCAAACCAACCATAAGCTGCCTTCGCCTTCCGCCGTATGTTCTGAGGATCCAATGGCTTCAGCACCGGAAATATGTCTGCTATGTTAAACTTTCCGTCCACCTCCATCACTGTCTTTACGGCTGTCTTAAAACCTCCGATATCATCGGAATCATAGCTGGCCACGCTCTGTGAAAGGCATGTATTGGACATCTGGTTGAGCGCCACCGCGAATGCCAACTTTCCGATATCCACCGCCTCCTTTTTCCTGCCAGACTCCCGAAGGAACTCCAGCACCTCATCCACCACTTTCTGTCGAAGGTCGGAAACGGTGTCGAGTTTGTGTTGGTGGGTGAGATATGTGTTGATGGCTTTTCTGATGGACCGCCACTCTTCATTTGTTGAGATCCATAAAACGGCCATGTCATAGTTCTGTAAGGTGGTGACGGCGTCTGGGACAACACGGCCGGAGCAGGCCTCGTCATTCAGTTGGAGGATTTCTCTGGCAGCCTCAGGTGTGGAGGCCACCACGGTGGTGATGCTGCCCAATCGGATGGTCATAAGTGGACCATGTTTCTGGGAGAGTTTGGCTAGGGACTCATGGGGTTTTGAACCAATGTCAAGGAGATTTCCGATGATGGGGAAGCCGACAGGTCCCGGAGGTAATCTCCTTCTACGGTGAAGGTCGAAGCCATGGAGGAGGAAGAGAAAGAAGAAAAGGGTAAAAGAAGCAACAAGCATAAATAAAAGCTCCATTGTTGTTTCCTTTTGGGATGTTGTTATGAGTTATGACTTATGAGTTATGAGGGTGGTGGGTGTTTATTTATAGAGTTACAAAAACGTGACATGTCTCATCAGGATACATCAAAAAGTCACAATCGTTGAACTTTATGATACATAATCTTTTCAAGATCCGTTTAATTACTACATAAACCCGTTTGTGCAGGATGGGACGCAACTGAAAATTGAGGGTTTAGGGTTTTGATATAATATTAAGGGGGTTGTTTGTAAAAGGTTGACCAAATAAGTCCTTGAAGGTTCTGCTTACTCAATCGCCCGAGCATCACAAGTATCGAGAATCTTACTGATAGGTGAATAAGAATACTCTAATTAATACAACAAGCATTATCGAGTGTCGTAAATGATTGATACATGCTGTTTTTGCAACAAGATCTTGATCCGTTGGTTTATATTTCTTGGTTTTAATTAATGGTTTTGTTTGTTTTTACCGCTTCTTTTAGTTAATACTTTATATGTTAAATGTTACCATCAGCCATAATAATGATTTTTTTTATCTAATGCTATGAGTTATATTTTAATTTTCACCGTATTCTAATTCTATCAATTTGTTGTGTTCTCCATAATCCATATATATATATATATCTCTTCCTGGAACATTATTTTATGGAAAATGCAAAAAATATTATTACAGACTCTAATACAATCACTTATCTGAACTTTCTGATTGAACCAAAAGATCTACTTTTATACAGGGTTTTTGGACGCGGTGGTGGAGAGTGGGGGATCGGGGATGCTTATGTTAAACTTCTCATGAAAGTCTTTACAGAATTCTTAAACCCTCCGATATCGTTCGATCCATAGTTGGTCACATTCTTTGAAAGGCGTGTGTCCAAAATATGGTGATGGAGTGCCACCATGTTGGTGGTGTTGCCCAATCGAAAGGTCAAAAGAAGAGGTAACATATTTTTGAGAGAGCTTGACAAGGAACGATCATGGTGTTTTGGCTCAATGTGATGAAGGTTCCGAATGATTAGGAGGTGAGTAGCGCTGAACAACAATTTTCTTTTTCAATAGAGTAGATCGAGGGCATGGAGAGGAGGAAGAAGAAAAAATAGAGATTCCATTGTTTCCTTTCTTGTTCTGTAAGTGATTCAATGATTTGGGTGTGTATTTAATTAACGGGTTAATGCATGAAATAGCAACCTACTTTCATAAAAAAATTTATTATAGCATTCTACTTTTATTTTTCTTTATTATAGCAATGTACTTTCAAATTATTTTTATTAAGGCATTGTATTTTAAAAAATTTACTCATAATAGCAATGGGTAACCTGTTACCTTTTAAACCGGTTAATCCTTTGACTTTTTTGCTTGTGTGGCTTTAATGAGTGTGACTTTAATAAGGTGATGTGGATGCCACATCATTTTGATGACTTAACTAAAATTAAAATAAAAACTTATGTCAAATTATTATTAGTGATTTTTATTTTTCATTGCTATGATCTAAAAAACATTTAATTTTTTTTACTTTTTCTTATTAAGTTGCATTCAAATTAAATATTCTTAAAGTAAAATATTTATTAAATAAATATGAAACATTATTTTCGAGATATATTTTGTTTGTAAAAAATGTAACTTTTCTTATTTTATGTTGTTTAATAAATACATATCTTTTAAAGTTCTCTTTAAAATATTAACGAAATAAATTGTTATCTAGAATTTTTTAATATTGTTATATTAATAAATAATTCAAAAAAGTCTAATTAATTTAATATATTTATTTGTCAAGTAAAAATGTTTTGAACAAATATAATATATTGTTTAAAAGATAATATTTTTGGGTAAAAAAAGAACAATTCTTATTTTCCTTTTTTCAAAAAACACATCTAGCGAGATAAGTTGTGTTATACTAGTTTTATTGATATTGATATATTAATGAATAATTTAGAATTTTTTTAATTCATTTAATACATTTATTAAATAACATGTAACATATCTAAATATTAAAATTAAAAATACAGTGTTTAATAAGAACTAGTAGATGCTATAATAAAATAATTTTAAAAGTACAATGATGTAGTAAGAAAGTCACATCACTATAGTATATGTGGACAGCCTACATGGACAATGAGGTGGCATGRAAACCTAGTATAATGGGTAAATTTAAATCAAAAGGTTACCCAATGCTATAATGGGTAAATTTTTCAAAGTACAATGTCCTAATAAAAAATAATTTGAAAGTACATTGCTGTAATAAGAAAAACTGAAAATACATTGCTATAACAAAGAAATTTATGAAAGTAGATTGTTATTTTGTGCATTTTGCCCTTTAATTAACTATCGATAGTGTGATTGTAGGAATTATCTATTCTTGTTTATAATTATTTTTTTTGTTAGAAAATAATATTATAAGAATTGATTTTGACAAAAAAAAAAAGAAGTTTTATTGTTAGATGTTATTTTCGTAGCCACCCCACTTTGCCTCTTTCATTATCTCATTCGTTGTGGAATGCAAACTAGAAAATAAAAAAATAAAAGGGATTTTTAACGTGTAGAAGTTGTAATCTCGTACTCTTTGATTGCCTATATTATAAAAGTAATAGTGATATTAGCATGTAGGTATATATGCGTAGATTTAGATAGAGGTGATAATGAGTCAGGTTGGGTTGGATTCGAGTTCAACCCATTTATTAAACAGGTTGAAATTTTCAACCCAACCCAATTTGTTATCTAAATGGTTTGATAGCGGGTTGACCTGTTTTCGATTTTTTTAACTCAACTTGTTAAATAAATAAGTTGAACTTGGGTTGATCCATTTAAGTTCAAAATTTTAAATAAAAAAAGGACTACACTATTTTTTTGTGTGAATAAAACACAACCACAAATACAAACAAATTGTTCAAAGTTTGAATAAAACACAACCACAACAAATATATTGTTCAAAATAAGTTGTATTAAACTTTGGAGACGATAATTGAGTAATAGATTACAGGGTTTTCTTAGAGTTCATGATGATTAAGAGTAATGGAGGCGATTGGAATTTGGAGTTTCATCTCACGACGGTAGGATTTTTAATTAAGAATAAACAAAATTAAAATTAGAATACTAGATATAATATTAAGAATAAAATAAAATTATATAATATTTTAAATGAGTTGAAAACGTGTCAAAAAATTCAACTAACCTAACCCATTTATTTAAATGGGTTAAAAATCTCAACCCAACCTGCTAACTTTAGGTTGGATTAGCGAGTTGGGTCACTTTTTAATCAAAAATGGATTAAAGTAAATCATAAATAAAAAACCATGTACAAAAAAGATTGGCATCCTTCTCCTTATATAATCACCATATAGATTTTAGATTTATGGATTTATAA